TACTTGGTACCTCGTCAAAGCATTATTGCACTCTATTTTAATCTTTTACTTTGTTGAAATTTCCTGTTTAATTACCTTTACTTTCATTCAGAAATCTCTGAGAGTGTAGAATATTGCCTATATTGAGTTTCCAATATCTGAAACATAGTTAGATACTCATAAATAGCTGATTAATGAAAGAAAGTACTTATTATTTTTATTATTTTGATCTACAGACTTCTAAAGGTAAGCCTATTTATATGTTATAAATGCAATTTTTCTGTTAATAAACTTGTGAAAATTAGTAATTCAACATTCAACACTAGTTTCTAAAAATCACTGATACAATTTATGTCTGATTCCAAGTTCCTTTTTTTTCTATAGCAATTTACTCCACTCTATTTCTGGAGGATTAAGGGTGGTAGTGTGTAGAGAGGGCTATACTTGAAATCAAATGCTTTAGCATTAAGCTCCAAATCTGTTATTTAGTAGCTCTGTGCTCTTGGACAAGCTACTATGGATTTTAGTTTCATGTATAATAGATATGATATGAGTTCTCACTGGTGAGAGAAATTGGTATTTCTTTCTAAACTGTAAGACATGTTGCATAAATTTATGTAAAAGAATTTCATTATTCTAACAGCTTTGCTCTCCAAGATTTGTGTATTAAGTTCACCTTTTCTTCTATACTTTCATCTTAGTTTTCTTAACAACACCATATATTCTGTAATTGTTCCATTTTTAAGTGTGGCAAATAAATGTTGTGTCATTTTTTCCTTCTTTTTAAAAATTCATTTGTTAGCACTATTGCCATTCACTGTTTCAAATTTAAGTTACGTGTTCCAAATTATTTATAACTTCTGGCAATACTATTCTTAAACCAAAGAGTTGAACCTAATTAAGAGACACATGACTACCCACAATTCCAATTATGTAACAGTCACCATATCCTTTGCATTGCATATTTCCTGCAAAAAAATTTATTTAAAAAAATTATCCCCCCCCCCCATTTCTTCCTGTGCCTGCCTTCAGGTAATCCAAATTTAGTCTCATTCTTTCAGTAGATTGAGGAGTCATATGAAGATAGATTTCTTTTAAGAATGAAAAAAATAAGAGATGGGACACCTGGGTGGCTCAGTCAGTTAAACGTCTGCCTTCAGCTCAGGTCATGATCCCAGGGTCCTGGGATTGAGCCCCACATTGGTCTCTCTGCTCAACAGGAGTCTGCTTCTCCCTCTCCCTGCTTCTGCTTGTGCTCTCTCTCTCTCTCACATTCACTTTCTCTCTCAAATAAATAAATAAAATCCTTAAAAAAAGAAAATAGGAGAATTGAAGCCATTATATTGGCAATTCAGGTGAAAAATTCTTCACTTATACCTGGTTATTTGAATATCAATTAAAATGTCAGTGCTGACTTGGTTAATTATCTCAATTTTCTAATTTATTCAACTTGTCATCATCTGTCTAGGGATTTTTGTCCTGTACAACAGGATCCTTGTCATCTTGTCTTTTTAATTTTTTGCTTAATTTTTCATCTTTGCAAAGGTATCTAGTTTTAGATTACTCTCAAGCTCAGGCTTTCATTAATCAGAAATAAGAATTTAAGTAGAGAGAGATAAAGGGCATAATGGAATTGACACAAGAATGTGATCATTACTGATAATCAGAAGAAGCAAGAAGGGCAGGCATAATTCCAGTGCTAGATGCTGTCACGTAAAAGCCTAAATTGTCTAAGAGAGACTTGACCATATTGACCATTTGTTTTTTTTTATACTATAGCATCTTATTCTATGTGTCAGATTTTTCTTATACAGAGTTGAGAAGCATAATAAGCTCTGTTGGTTTAGAAGACATCTAGCTGCTTTGAATCAATACAGTGTTTTCCCTGGGTAGTTACTAAGTAAATATGTGTTGAATGAATTAGTGAAAGTCCTCTTAGCTAGCAAATTATATTTATAGATGTGATTATGGAAATGCTGTTGATACATTTTTAAGAATTGCCATTCACAAGAATAAAAGATCGGAGTAAGTGAATACCTATGAAAGTGACACAGAAGTGAAAAAGAACTTTAAAATTATAATTGTAAAAAAAAAGAAAAGAATTAAAAGAGAAAGATGTCTGGTACTTAGTAGATTTTCAAAGACTACCTAACAAATGAAGGGATGAAAAACATTAAACCTTGAGGCACTAGAGATATCAGAAATTTAGAGCCCAAAACATGTAAGTACTGAGGAAGGCATACTATAATTATGGTATTGTTGATTACTTACATTGGTGATTAGGAATGGGTTCAAAAGTGAGGTCAGTAAGCCATTATCATTTCAGGGAAATTACTGATTTTTTTTAACTATGGTCAAAATGTAGATTCAAGTATTTGTTCTTGATTCAAAGAGTTTAAATATTATATTTAAATATTTTATCATGCAAAGTATGAAAGCATTATAAAAAATTAAAGTTCTGCACAAATGTATTAGCATATGTTTGTCTTGTTCTAAAATTAGAGAAGGCTCCCTGTGCATCCACATTCATTTATGTTTATAACCTTTTTATGTAAAAAATTGATTACATGACGTCCTTCTCCATTTGTTATTGCCTATTGAAATTCTCCTTTCTTTCAATGGAGTAAGCTTGAGGTTTGCTATGTTATATAGGAAAATGGGGGAGGGCCTCATTGATACGGTAGTATAGGAGCAGAAATATGAAAGAAGTGAAGGAACAAACTTTATGGATATCTGGAGGAAGAATATTTAGGCAGAAGAGTGGGAATAGAGGCCCTGGTGTAGGAGAGTTCTTGTTATATGTGAGAAAGAGCAGAGACCACTGTGGTTGGAGTAGATAGGGCAAGAAGAGAGGAGTAATAGCTGAAATTAGATGGGTGGTCTTCTGCTGAGTGAGATGGGGAGTCACTGGAGGGTTTGTGTTGGGGATGACATTGTCTGGCTTATAATCTTTCTGGCTGCTGTGTTTAGAAAAGTCTGCAGGAGGGCAAAGATGGCAGCATGTAGACTAGTATGAGGTTATTATAATAATGTGGGGGCTAGATGTTGGTGGACTGGACCAGGGTAGTAGCACTAGCAAGTGATGGTGGTAGTTAGCGTTAGAGCCAATAGAATTTGTGGATGGATTAGATGTAGAGAATTAGAGAGGGAGAACAACAAATGATGACTCCAAGAATTCTGGACTGAAAAATTGGAAGGGAAAGAGAGAGAGAGAGAGAGAGAGAACTCAGCAGGAGAAACAGTAAAGGTAGATAAGATTTGTAGTTCAGTTTTGAAAAGTTAAGTTTGAGATGTTTCTTAGACATCCAAGTGGAAATGTTTTTTTAAAAAGATTTTATTTATTATTTGAGAGAGAGAGAAATTGAGAGAACGAATGGGAGGAGGGGCCGAGGGAGAAGCAGGCTCCTTGTGGACCAGGGAGCCCGATGCAGGACTCTATCCCAGGACCCTGGGACCATGACCTGAGCCAAAGGCAGATGCTTAACCAGCTGAGCCACCCAGGTGCCCCCAAATGGGAATGTTGAGTGTACAGTTGAATATGAGTCTGGAATACAGGGGAAAGATCTTAGCTATAAATATAAACCTGGGAGTCTTAAGGATTCTGATAATATTTAAAGCCGGGAGACTAGCTAAAGTTACCTACATTGTAAGAATAGAGAGGAGTCTTCAGATGTTTAGGGGCTTGAGGAATGAGAAGGAACCAGGGAAAGTGATTAAGAAGCAGCAGCTAGAAGAGATACTAGAAGAGAGTGCTGCCTTGGAAGCAGTGATGTCTGGAATGTGCTTACACCAGCTTGCAAGAGCCTATTGTTACATTTTCAACAAATTTGTAAGCTGGTTTAAACACAGCCATTTAAAAATTAAATTACGTAAACTTACATTAAATAAATTATATTAAAAATAGAAGTAATAAACACTCAAAACTCATCACTTCCTAATATTTTTCTGTTTTGATACCACGTATACTCTTGAGGTTATTTGTATCTATTGTGTCTGTATGGTGTTAAAGCTATGTAATGGTGGTGTTGTGCTTCTTCCCAAGTCGATGTTCAATGCTGTCATGTTGGCATCTTGAAATCAGCTGTGATGGGAATATTTACACCTTGGAAATTGCACATGCTACAAATCAGGGCTTGATTTATTGTTTTGCTAGAAGTGTGATAAAGAAAATGTTAAGGGGTTCCTGGGTGGCTCAGTTGGTTAAGCGACTGCCTTTGGCTCACGTCATGATCCCGGGGTCCTGGGATCGAGTCCCGCATTGGGCTCCTGGCTCAGCAGGGACCCTGCTTCTCCCTCTGCCTGCCACTCCCCCTGCTTGTGCTCTCTCTCTCTGTCAAATAAATAAATAAAATCTTTAAAAAAATGTTAATAATGCAAGTGCAAGTTAAAAGTATATTATTTTGGGCCACCTGGGTGGCTTAGTCAGTTAAACATCCAACTCTTGGTTTGGGCTCAGGTCATGATCTCAGGGTCATGAGATTGAGCCCTGTGTCTGGCTCCCTGCTCGGCGGGGAGTCTGCTTCTCCCACTCCCTGCTTATGTGTGCTCTCTCTGTCAAATATATAAATAAAATCTTAAAAAAAAAAAAAGATTCTCTCCCTCTCCCTTTGTTCCCCCCCCAACTAGTGTGTGTGTGCACTCTCTCTCTCAAAAAAAAAAACCATATTATGTCTCTAGCTATTATACTGTCATTAGCATCAAAAATTATTTGATTCAGCAAAGAAATCACAAAATTGATGAAGGAGTGAGTGAAGGTTTATCATATAAGCCATCTTGTTTCATTTTCATCTTATTAACGTAACAAAAAAAATCAACCACTATTTATGTCGGAACTACTCATTCATCAATTACAACCTTAAGTTGGCTATGATTATAAAAACTGGGCAAAAATCAACGAAAATATTCTTGAGAATCAATTGATCATATGGAATTTATAATGAAAATAGGTTTCATTATGAAACATAATTAGGTTTCTTTTTTTCTAGGACTGTATGATAGAATTTTGAAATCATGTTTTTCAGATACTGACCGAGCTTTATCATTACTGGAAGAATACTGCAAAAAGTTAAGGAAACCAGAGGAACAGCAGTTGAAAAGCGCTGTTAAAAAGGTGATGGGTATCTTTAAGAGCAGCTTATTCCAAGCTTTGCTAGGTATGTATTACAAATTTATTTATCATTTTAATGGTCAGAATGGGGCTTAATAGTTTGAGTAATGTCATCAAAGAACCTAATGTTAACCAAATTTAAAATTAGAATAATTTTCTTTGATAGTGGAAGGAATGATTTTCTTTTCTTTTTCTTATTTAAGGCTAACCTAAAAAAGAACTGTTATAAAATAGAAAAAAAAGTGTAGGTTATCAAAAATATAAATATTGAGGGGCACCTGGGTGGCTCAGTTGGTTAAGCATCTGCCTTCAACTCAGGTCATGATTTCAGGGTCCTGGGATGGAGCTCCAAGTCAAGTTGGGCTCCCTACTCAGTGGGGAGCCTGCTTCTCCCTCTTCCTCTGCTGCTCCCTCTTCTTGTGCTCTCTCTCTCTGTCAAATAAATAAATAAAATCTTTAAATAAGTAAATAAATATTGAAAGAATGTTTTATATAGGAAGAAAAGTTTACACAGGAAAAGACCTGAATTGTCAGTTGTAAAAAAATTGAGGACAAATGCTGGAGAAGGAACTTGCCTTCCTTTAGAGAAGGAATTGGCTAGTACAAAAAGCAATGGGTCATTTCTCCTCAGAATCATAGTTCTACTTTTACTCTCCTCTTTGCTTCTCTTGTGAAAGTTTATGATCCATATTGAAAAGTTTATTGATGAAAATTTCAGTGCTTTGGAATTTTGGTCAGTTTGTCATAAATTTAACCATGTAATGTCAACCTTAGTTTAATCTCTAACATTAAAAATTGTGAAGGAATTCACGGACTTTGCTTATGTATGTGTGTCTTTATATGTGTATCTTTTGTACTTATGCAGATGACTTAATTCTTTACATAATATTTTAATATTTAATATAAACTAGCAAAAGATATAAACAAACACCTCCCCTCAACAAAAACAATCAACTAAATTAAAAAAAAACTCACTCAATTATATTATGTTTTATTATGCTTAAACAGTACATTTTAAAGAATAACTGAGTCTACTAGACATTATTACTTTCTCAGGTCTGGTGGTTTGGATATAAAATCTAAAAATGGGAACTTAGGATTAATTTTGAAAATACTTTATGTTTTTATTATGCCTACACTTGTTGACAAAAACTCCAACCTTAGGGTGTGAATATAATTTAAAAAACCATTAAATTTTGAAAATGTAAAATTCATCTATTGAATAAAAATGGAAGTAAAAAGCTTTGTAGGATTGTTTTGCCTGCAGATTAATTTCTTTAAAATATTTTTCTGTGGCTGGTAAGAATTAATGACACAAATAACTATAATCATCTTAGCCTGTATTAAATAAAAGCAACTCTAAATGGAGTCTTACAGAATTTAAATAAATCCTGTCATTAAAGAATAGTATTTTAGAGAACATTTTTAAGCCACAAGTTTCTCAATTAAAAATTGATGGTCTCATCTAGTTGATAATTAGTAAAGGCTATTAACTGAATGACAGTATCTCTAAGTAGAGTTGTATGATGTGCTTAGTTGAGACTGACCAAGTCTTTTGAGAGTTTGAATTTTTGAGAGCTTGATTTAGGAAGAGTATTGTTGAATGCTTTAGATAATTTTACTATACTTAGGCAGTGTTTGCATTTGGTATCACAATATCATTACATGGGGAATAAAAGGGCAAATGAATGACAGAGAATTGCATTTTGCCATTGTTTTGGGTGAGTGATAATAAATATCTTGGCAAAAAGCCTACATAGTTTGAATTTCTCTAGTAAAATGAAAGGCAACAATAATCTGTAAAAAGCTGTTATATAAGTAATCCTGGTGTCCAGCTTTGAATGGATAGATTTGCTCTGGCTAGTCTTTAAAAGTCATTTTGGGATAAACCAGACTGCAAAGAATGGAGCAACATTATACAACAAAACATAATTTTCATTTCAGTTCTGTGTGTGTTGCTAAATACTGATAACTAATTTATTATTATTGAATGTTTGAGTGTTTTCACTGTGTATTTTCTTTAAGGACTCAAAAGAAGAAAAACCATGTAGCACTCTGCATCCTGAAAGGGATTATATCATTATAAAGAGATAAGCAGAGAGCTGTTGATAAATAGAGTATTGTTTATGGTCTGTAACTTTCTGTTTGGACCAACTACCTCCTACCCTACCACCTGTCCTTTTTTCTGTTACAAGTAATGGAACACAGTGGCTTTACTCATTGTTCTGATATTCGAATAGCCAGTATATTGAAATAATACCTTGCATGAATCTCAGTTAACTAGAAATAGAAGGGAATCATAATGCAGGAAACCCAGTACAAATGGATAGTAAAATAAAATATTATTATTACAAGATATACTGTAATATTTACATATCACCAGAGAACCAACCCTTCTCTCGACAGATGAAAAGCATCACTTCAAAAATTAACACAGCCTCCTTCTGTGATCCTTCCATCATATGCTTAAAAAAAATCCCAAACACTAGTATGTCTTAGGTGGTATAATCTATGAGGACAGAATTTTGTCTACATAATTTTGACCATTATTGAGTGCATTAAAGCATTTTATAAGTAGGTTCTGTGATAGTAGGGTGGAAAGTGATGGCAAAGATATTGTTTTTTAATTTTTAAAATAGAACTTTATTTGCTCACAAAAGTAATATATATTCATCCTTTAAAAATTAAAAATAAAGTAAAAGAAGAATATAAAATTTTATGGTAAGATACATTCCTCTTATGGTAAATAGCAGGATATATGATAAGCACAGAGAATGATGATCTGTTTGATTAACTTTCTCCCTCCTTGCTTCTACAGTTTCTGTATCCTTTGTTTTAATTTTCCATTTATTGACAACTGACAGTGGGAAAAGACACTTAAACTTTTAAAAAGTTAGTAATTAATTTTCATTAATGTACAAAAAAAGAAAAATACCTAGAATAGCAATATCCCAGAAGTCGCACATTTGGATGTTGGGCTTAGGGTGACATCTTGTGGTGTAACTAAGGAAAAAGTTTTGTCCAATGGATAATTACGGTTTTATATGATTACATTATTAGTAGATTTTGAATATAAGTGAATTGGAATTCCATGATATTTTACAAATTAATTTAGGTCTCTCTATTTAGTATGGCTAAAACATTCAGATTTTCAAGATACTCTATTTGGTTATTTATTCTTCATTTAGGTGATGAAGGAGCAAGATGGAAATGTTTTTATTATTTTGATACTTCTCTTCCAGATCTCCTTTGAATATTTAAAGATTTATATTACCACCATAATTATTTGTAAAAACTATTTTAATAATATAATGGGCCAGTTCATTTTCAGATATGTACCACAAATGTTCTTTGTTTTTATACCTTATTGAAATTTTTTTTATTCTTTATTTATTACTTATACAATTGTGGACAGAATTATGTATATATTAACAAGTTTCAACTCCTTTCAAAATCTTGTTAATCTTATTGATCTGATTTTATTTCCTTTGTTTCTTTTTTTAATTTATTTTATTTTAATTCAGTTGATTAACATATAATGTATTATTAGTTTCAGAGGTAGAGTTCAGTGATTCCTCAGTTGTATACAATACCCACTGCTCATTACATCACATGCCCTCCTTAATCCCCATCTCCCAGTTACCCCATCCCCTCACCCTCCTCCCCTCCAGCAACCCTCAGTTTGTTTCCTATGATTAAGAGTCTCTTATGGTTTGTCTCCCTTTCTGGTTTTGTCTTAGTTTATTCCCCCCTTTTCCCCTATGATCTTGTTTTGTTTCTTAAATTCTGCATATGAAGGAAATCATATGATAATTGTCTTTCTCTGACTGACTTATTTCACTTAGCATAATACCCTCTAGTTCTATCCACATTGTTGCAAATGGTAAGATTTCATTTTTTAAATGGCTGGGTAGTATTCCATTGTATATATATACCACATCTCCTTATCCATTCATCTGTCAATGGACATCTGGTCTCTTCCTATATTTCCTTTTATTTTATTGCAGTGTTTGAGGGGGGCTTTTGGGGAAAGATTTAGAACAGAATGGGCAGTAAAGTGGTATTTTCCTAAAAACCTTGCCAGTAGCAACATCTTAGAAAAATGCTTATTCTTTGCATGTCAGACTTTGTGTTAGAGTAGAATACTTTAATTTCCATAAATCTTAACATAGAACAGTATGGACTCATAGAGGTGATATAGTAGATGTAGTATATACTGGAGTATATTGGATATTGGGATATACAGGAGATATACTACTATACTGGGATTTATCACCTCCTTGTTGAAGCCTTCTCCCATGTTCTTACTTGATAGTAGCTTTAGCCAGCCCTTTTATTATGTCTTACAGCATTTTTTCAGATTAGTGTAAAACATTTATTCTATTGCCTTATGATACAGTGAATATATTTCTGTCCCCTCAGTAAACTGTGAGTAGCTTGAAAGTTGAGGTTATATCTAAGTGACCTTTAAACCCCCAGCATATGGACCTTAATAATAGTGGGCCTTCAATACATTTTATTTATTCATTTACTCAATAATTATTTTAAAAATACCTGGTATGTATTAGACATAGTGCTAGGCAATGGGGATACAACAGCAAAATATAGAGGAGAGGATTGTCCTCGCCCTTATGGAGAAGTGAGAGAAATCAAATGGGCAAAAGAGTCTTTAGCTATGCAATTAGGTAATTATTTAAATGTAATGCTGGTAAGTGCTCTAAAATCAATGTGTTTAAAAGTTTTATCACATTTTAATTTGAGTAAAAAAAAAAACCCTACATATTTTTCCAATATAGTAATTCCAATATAATATTTTATTTCAAAATAACATTATGTGAAAACATCATGGCTATTTTGGTCTTAATTATTCATCATAATGTATAATTTTTGCCACCTGATCATAAGATAGTCAAAGGATTTTTTTATAGATTATAGTGAATGTGAAAGTCCACACAGTTATTATGAATTTGAGAAAACTTGGCTTTAATCCCCCAAAGCAGACATTCTCAAAGTGTGGTTCTTGGACCAGCCGCGTCAGCATCACCT